GACTGACCGGCCGGTCACCGATCCGGGCCGATCATGAGGAAAATCGGCCGATTCCGATCCCTGGCCGATCGATCGGTGCATCTCTAGCTTTAAGTTGAACACACCTAATGCCGTCTGCTGGACTAAGCGCGCTCATTGTTGCGTGTATTTTATTTTCACCACCTGCGAACTCACAAGGAGCTCATAAAAGGCACTTTACCTCATCGTTGCTCCACGTTTGCCCTCTGCTCATTTTGTTTTGGTTACACCGCTCATTCCGTGTCGTCAAATCATGTAGCATAGCGTCACATCTTGTCATTACTTCCTGTTTTTGGTTCGTTTAGAAGTATTTGGTCCATGTTACGTTCATATTTCATTCGAACCGCATCAGAGTTTGTTTGGAAGCGGACCGACAGATCTTTTTAGCGGTCTCGGTCCACTTGTTTGGTGCGCACCAGGGTTTGGATGGCAGCGTTCACGCTTACTCAAACTAACCGCACTAAAGGCCCCGATATACTTCAAACGAAATCGAAGAACGAACTGAAATGATGTCATTTCAAACAAAATCAGGCCGAAACGAAGTTCGTTTTGGCAGTTCGAAACAGCTCACCAAAGCGAACTTTTTGGGGGAGTTCGTTTTGCCTCCTAAACACCTTTGAGCTACCATTGGTCTGTGGCGGTTACGCAGTTGGTGGGTGTGTTCTGGAACTCCGCCGCCTTTGACGTACGATTATTTTCTTTTCCCCCCGGTTCGTTTCTCATTCCACGGAGGCCAGACAGGAGAACACATCTCCGCGACTATCTTGCGGGCTGTGCACGGTCCAATCTTGAATGTTTCAGCCACACTTTGTTGCGTGGCCCCACAAGCTAGTACTCGGAGTGTCAAGACCAGTCTCTCCGTAGTGGAAATCTGTGTCCTGTGCGTTTTTGCATGTTTCACATATGGCGATACTCTTTTCAAGAGATCCGCACGGCGCACATTCTGAAGTATGAAAAATGCACTTCCTCATCTGTGCTCCGCATTTGCTGAATAAAAAGGGCAAACTCGCCATCATTCTTTCTGTTTTCGTTAAGTGGACGCACATACCATCTACGTCGCTTGTTCTTGTTCTTTGCCAAATATGACAAGTGTGAACACACCCTTACTTCTCAAAGTAAACTACAACGACCCTTTGGTGGCCCTCCTGATTGTTTTGAAAGCAGAGGGGGTGGTGGTTGGTTTGTATGTGCAACCTGGGTTGCCACATATGTGAATGTAGTTTGGTCACCCTTTAGGCTTGGTAAACAGCCTGCCAGATTTTTCTCACCACCGTGAAGGGGGTTTGATGTGTTTTTTTATGCATTGTGGGGGACGGTCTTTTCTTTACGGTCCCTGTCACCTGTTGTGGAGCCGCTGTGTAAACCTGGGCCCGTATTCACAAAACATTTTATCTTACCACTAAGAGTTCTCCTAAATAGCAGTACAAGTTTTTAGCTAAGATTTTTAGCCTAATAAGCGCTCAAGCGCACCCAAAAAAGGCTTGCCACAGCGCACCGGCAAATATAATAATTATGAATGTGTTAGGGAAA